TTCATAATGTGAAACTATAATTCTAATTGGCTTTAAAGCCACTCTGGTTGCCTAGTGGTAAAAGCTGCACTGCAATCCCAAAGGCAACGTGGTTTGAATTCACCAGACGCTCGCACCATGGAAGAAGGGCGGCAATCTCATCCCTGTGGTTAAGTGCCTCTGAAAATCTGCTGGAGTGTCATCTGTAGGTGGTTCCTACTCAACGGCACATAACAACCACCACCACCACCACCACCACCCTGATATAAACCCAAAATATTAGGAGAATTAATTTCGAGTTGCATCAAATCTTAGAGAAAATCAGCCATTGTATATCCCAGCGGAACGGCCATCTATTGTTCTTAAATTTGTTGTTGTTGTTACGTGCCGTTGAGTCATCTGCGACGACATGAAAAAATAAATCCTATACCTATGCAGATGACACAACCCTGCTTGCTGAAACTGAGGAGGACCGGAGGCGCTTGCTGCAGAAGATCGAGGACTGAAGCTAAATGTCAAGAAAACAAAGATTCTAAACCACTGGGCCAAATGGCAGCATCAGCATGGATGGTGAAGAGATTGAGATAGTTAACAGTTTTAATTTACTTGGCTCCACAGTCAACACTCTTGGTAACAGCAGCCACGAAATCAGGAGACAAATTGCATTGGGAAAGTCGGCTGTGAGGGACCTCTCAAGAGTACTGAAGAGCAACGATGTCAGGCTGGAGACTAAGGTGCGCCTGATCCGGGCTATAGTCTTCACAATTATGTGCTATGCATCAGAGAGTTGGACAGTGAATAGGGTTGATAGAAAGAGGATTGTTGTGTTTGAGCTGTGGTGCTGGAGAAGAGTGTTGAATATACCATGGACTGCTAGGAGAACAAACAGGTTTGTCCTGGAGAGGGTGAAGCCAGAATGTTCCCTGGAGTCAAGGATTCTGAAGCTTTGTCTGACATATTTTGGGCATGTTGCAAGGAGGGACTAGCCCTTGGAGAGGGACATCATGTTTGGCAGAGTGGAGGGGAGGTGAAGGAGAGGAAGACCTTTGGTGAGATGGATCGATTCTGTGACTGGAGCAGTGGGAATAAGTGTGTTTGAGATGTCTAGGTTGGCACAGGATAGAACAGCATTTAGAGCTAGGGTTGCTAAGAGTCGCAAGCGACTTGATGGCATGTAACAACAACAACAACATGTCATTTATTCTAATTTTTAAACGTTTACATAGCTTGGCTTAGGGTGAGAAATAAAGGAATCTATCCTGCTCGCTGAAACTGAGGAGGACCTCATGCACTTACTGCAGAGGGTCAAGGACTGCAGCCTTCAATATGGACTGAGGCTCAATGTCAAGAAGACAAAAATTCTCACCACTGGACCAATTGGTAGCATCAGGATGGATGGCAAAGAGATTGAGATTGTTCACAGCTTCCGTTTGCTCGGCTCCATGGTCAACACTCTTGGCACCAGTAGCCAGGAAATAAAAAAACATATTACGATAGGAAAGTCTGCTGTTAGGGGCCTCTCTAAAGTACTCAAGAGCGGCGGTGCCTCTCTGGAGACTAAGGTGCGCCTGATACAGGCCATGGTTTTTGCAATCACTTGTTATGCATCAGAGAGTTGGACAATGACTAGGGAGGATAGAAGGAGAATTGACGCCTTTGAGCTGTGGTGCTGGAGAAGAGTATTGAATGTACCATGGACTGCCAAGGAAACAAACAGATTCATCGTAGAGAGGGTTAAACCAGGCTGCTCCTTGGAGGCAAGGATTCTGGGGCTTCGTCTGACATACTTTGGACGTGTTTTAAGGAGAGACAGGTCTTTAGAGAGGGACATCATGCTGGGTAGAGTAGAGGGACAGCACAGGAGGGGAAACCCTCTATGAGGTGGATTGATTCAGTGACTAGGGTAATCGCGATGGGTGTGTCAGAGGCAATGAGATTGGCACGAGATAGAGCAGGGTTTAGGGCTGTTGTTGTACATAGGATCGCTATGAGTCGCAAATGACTTGACAGCACATAACAACAACAACAACAACAACAACATCCTGGTTATGGCTGTGGCCTGGTTGCCAGAGAGCATGGTGCTGTTTGAGCGGTGTTGTGGCAGTTTTCAGATGCGAAGGACTATTCTGCCTCCAGGAGCCAGGCAATCCAGGCTTGGCCAAGGGTTTAAGGTGGCAGCAGAGGGCTTCAAGCCCAAAAGGGCTTTCATTGTTTTTGTTCAGACATTCCTCTAGGTCATATAGCCCTGGTGTACAAGTTGCTGTCCCGCGGTCACGTGTGGTTGCTGTAAGGCTGAACATTGTGACACTGATGTGTCAAATGCGTTAATGGCTGGTTACCCAATGCAGACAGAGTGGGGTGGAGCTCCCCGATTAAACAAGCTTGGAAGGAGTGGCGTCCACTTCCATAATAGTTTGCCTCAGGAAACCCTATGAACCTGGAGAGAGGATGAAAGGCACCCCAGCGTTGAGGACTCTCCTTCATAGGGTCGCTATGAGTCGCCTGTGACTTGACGGCATTTGACAACAACAACATCCTGGTTATGTTACTATTTTCCTTAAAATTCTAGCAATGTAATAAGCAAAAAACTTACTGTTGTGTCAGTTCCTATTCTCCTTTCTTTCAGATTTATGAGGCTATGAACAGTGGAAGCTCTGATCGCCTAGTAGTAAGAAGTTGCACTGCCAACTCGAAGGCAAACGGTTCAAATCCACTAGCTGCCCTGTGGGAGACAGATAATCAACCCACTGGAGGGTCAACTACGGGGCTAGTTCTGACTCAGTGGTACAGAATAACAACAGTGAGAGAAGTCAATCTTTTCCTAAGGGCCTTTGGGTTACCAATGTAACTCTTCAGAGCCTATGCTACCAGCAGATTCTTTGCTGTGCCTTACACTGGGAGAGGGAGTTTAATTTTCTTTCCCTTGAATCTGAGTTCACGTTAGTGACAGGCTCGACCTGAATTTAGCATAAGGTGATATGCTAGAATTTAAAACACTCTCATAAGAAAACGTTTTCATTGTTACTCAAACCTCTTGAAAATTGCATTCTGGGAGGACTGTGTAACTATCTGAGACCATGATGCTGGAAAGGCCATGTGGAACTCTCTGTGGATGTCCCAGCAGAGTTCCAGTCATCTCCATCCAGGCAGACGAGAGGGACGTCATCTTGGGCTCTCCAAGATGAATATCATTCAAGGAACCTTTCTTTTTCTTTTTTTTACTTTTTAAAAATTTTTTTAAATTCCTTTTAATGGAAATTTACAGACATTTTGGATTTCCATTCACTCATTGTTGCACTTTTCTCCCTGCCCAACCCAATCTAACCCCTCCCTAGTTCGCTCTTCTCTTTGAAAAGTAAAATTCTTCCACTGTTTTACAATCCTCCCTTCAAATCCACTCCACTATGCAGCCTTTGCTCTGGACTCCTGTCATGACAATAATACCTAATCACATATCCCTTTTAAAGTTATCTCCCTCATCTGTTTCAATGCAGTATACATAATTTATCTCATTTTTCTCAATCTCCCTGCAACCCCGATGTCAGTCTCGTTTTACAACAGTGGCATCATGCAGTGTTTGTCCTTTTGTGACTGAGATAGTTAACTCAGCATAATGTCCTCTAGGGTCACCCATTTTGAATAATATTGCATGATTTCCTTGTTTTTCAATGCAGTGTAGTATTCCACTGTGTGAATATACCACAGCTTCTCTATCCATTCTTTTGTTGATGGGTACTTTGGTTGTTTCCAACTCTGCTATGATGAACAAAGCAGTGATAAACATGGGTGTGTATGTATCTGCTTGGGTGGCAGTTATGGTTTCTTTGGGGTATATTCCTAGTAGTGGAATTTCTGGGTCAAATGGTATTTCTATTTGCAACTTTTTGAGAAAGCGCCACACCATCTTCCACAGTGGTTGCACCATTTTACACTCCTACCAACAGTGAATAAGGGTTCCAGTTTCTCCACAACCTCGCCAGCATTTGTTGTTTGCTGTTCTATTGAATTTTGCTATTCTTACTGGGGTGAGATGATTTCTCATAGTTGTTTTGATTTGCATGTGTCTTAGAACCAGGGATTTTGAACATTTCTTCATGTGTTTGTTTACCATCTGAATGTCTTCTTTGGTGAAGTGTCTGTTCATATTCTGTGCCCAGTTTTCAACTGGGTTGTTTTACCTTTATCTTGTTGTGGTGCTCAAGTATTTTATAAATTCTAGATATAAGTCCCTTTTCTGACATGTCATTACCAAATATTTCAATGCCATATGAAACAGAACAGCCCAGTCAAGCCTTACTGGGATTCTCTACCCATGAAATTGTGATATTATACAATGGTTGTCTTTTTAAGCCACCAAGTTTTGAAGTAGTTTAATCAACAAGATCACTAAAATGGTGACTCACTGAACTTTAGGTGTAAAACAGTATAATTCAATAGAAGGAGAAAAGGGGAGCTGATGAGGGAAGGCAGATGAGGAATGCAGTAATGTTCTCTACAAGGAGCAGAGGGGTGAGGATGGGTGGGGGTGGGGTTAATCATAGGGTCACACAATTTGATGTGTGGAGGGAGGGGTGGGTGAAGCAAATGGGAAAGATCCAGTGTGCAAAACAATGTATACGACCTTTGTAAAGAAACCAGTATATATTAAAAAAAAAATCATCAATACCCTGGACACCATTCAAAGACCCACAATGTTAAAAGACTCACAATTAGGGACTTAGAGCAAATTTTAAAAATCAGAGCCAATTTTTAGCAGGCTGCTACCACAGTTTTGAGCAAAATTCACAACTTTGACCCAACTTCTTAGGGATTCAGAGGGAAAAACAGCAGTCAAGTCTCGCCTCATGCAGATGCTGTGAACAGTAATGAATAAACATGACAAATGAATATGCTGCAAATAAGAACTAAAAATGCTAACTATGTAAGCAGCAATCTTGGCACCTACTGAAAATCCTTCATCAGATGATTGCAAATTGGAGGTGTCTCAGGAGAAAAATAACTTCGGAAATACAGATTTTATATTTTGTACTTTTATTGAAAAGATACATTTAAAAAAATACACAGACATTTTACCATTTACAGATTGAAGATATAGATGCTCTAAAAGAGTTAACTCTATTTTGTTATTTAATGATACCTCTTGCCCCTGATATCACAAACATTCCAGTCTTGTTGATACCAGTGTAGAAAGGGGGGCATGGCAACAGGACCTGCAACAGATCTAGTGAACAGAAAGACAAGTTGTTCAATTATAAATTTCTTTAATCTTCTGTACATTATTGCATTAGGGAGCCACAAAATTATGTAGCATCATTACAAATGAGAACAGGTTTAAAAATAAAGAAGGTGACTGCGTAGAAATACATGGATTCATTGTCTTCTTGCAGAATGCACAAGAGGTGCAAAAAATGTGCAATTTAGGAAGCTCTTTTTTCTGTTTGAATACATATGCTCAGCAACTCAAACCAGTGAGGAAGCTACAAAATAAGTTAAACAACAACAACAAAAAATAGGAAACAGGTAGTAATTATAGCTATGTTATATGGCTTTCTATTTCTTTTAAATATCTCAAATAAAATGTGAAACAAAGAAAACACATTGCTTTATCATTTGTTCTCCTGAAGAGAAAAATTCAAAGTTATTTTGCTTCCTAACATTTACACAGCAACTAAAAATGTTAAATTCAGACAAGAGATACAGATCTAGTACTACACAGGATACAACAGTACTTGGGTCTAAAACAGTACACAATCCCTGTCAACAATAGTACACCAAAAGAGAAAATGCTGTGATCCGTTGGTTAAATGGTATCCGCAAGTGAGTACTTGTGTTCATCTAGTTTTTTTTCACTCCACACTAGAATATGCCCAGTTAGATTCCAGAGTTATTTACAGACGCATGAGGAAGATCCTAGTTTTCAAGCCTGTCAGGAAAATATTCCATATTGTTCCTAAGCCAGATCACACTCATGGGGAAAATGGTGGAGAATGACTTCCCCCACCTCTTTCTGAGCAATACTTTCTCAACTAATCAAATATTTCAGATACTCAGACTGAATGGGGCAGAGAAGGTGGAGTAGGAGAAGAGAAGGGTATAGACTGTGCTGCTTAGATCCCTAAATCATACACACACCCCACAAAGCACTCTTGAATCTAGTGATCTGCTGTTCTTGGGAGCTCAGGTTAAGGGGTGAGATGCTACATTTTGTGGGTAAGTGAGGGGTACTGCAACGCAAAAATGCTGAAATTGCTGAATTGTTTTGGATTTCCTCCTCAACTTTCTTACTGGTCTCAACCGTCTTGGAACTTGCAGGCATTAGTATGGAGCAAAGAGGATGGAAGCGGGAGTGGCCCTGATGGGCCCATGGCCCGGCCTCAGGAGAGCTGGAGGTATGGCTGGAGCCTGGAAGAGCGAGGCAGATGGCCGGGGTGGTAGTGACAGCGCAGTGGACACTGCTGCTGCCGCCGCCAAGGGCGATGACAAGAAGGCCGGGGCCAAAGGCTTCATCATGTCCTTCTGGAATGCAAGTTTTGCCTAAGAGAAGGAGAAAAAGGCGATACAGGATGAGAAAATTGAGTTAACATTTCAACAACAACACTGCAGATAGAGTTTTCAATATTAGAGGGTCTGTATGAAGAGGTTTTTCTATTTTAAAAATTCTCTACACTCAGAAGTCAAGACAATTGTTTCCATAAAGGGGTTTCAACAGCTCTTGGCACAGCATGACTTTGATTTGATTCCACGTCAGCTTTTTTTCTGGTCATCTCTGGTCCTGGGCATTAGAGGACAAAAAAGCCTCCCTCAACAGGTACTAATGCTATTCGATGCCAGGAAAAACCAAATTCACATGTGTTCTTAAGGTTTCCCGTTTAGACATGAAACTCAATGTGAATTCAGACTTAGAACTGTGTCAGAAAAACATGTATGAACCTTCATTTTACTTAGATAAACTACCTGAGATTAGGCAACTGGGCTTCAGGATACTAAGGACCCCTGGAGTCATGAAAGCACAGTCAAATGATACCTCTTTCACTTGCCACTTAAGAAGCAAACTCTGAAGAGTTGGATTTAACTCAGACCTCTGTCTTTGAGAATGACTTTAAATGAACTTGGGACATTATTTAAAAGATTCCTAGAGTGAAATTTTCTTGTGAAGGGTGAAAACGAAATCAATCCATAATTTCCCCGTTTGCAATCAGGAGGAGTCTTGTGATCTGGATTTGCTTAATGCAGGTACACCTGCTGGCAACATTTGATGGAGCTTTTTGAGAAGCTGGGAGGTAATCCCACTCTGGCTCCTACTGGCTAATCTCAGCTTCATCCTCTGCTTGAACGCCAAACTGGCTGAGACCCAGAAAGCTGGAGAAATCCCTCCATCTGAGTATTTATATGACACCTATTGCTGGAGCTCTGAAATATTTTGCAAAGAAATGGAAAATAGTACATACTGAGAGCAGGTAAGACCGGCTGATTACCAGCCTTCCTGCTAGACCTGGGAAGACAGAGCAACATAAACACCCACTATTTTCTCACATAAAATAAAGAGCCGCAAGAAAGAGGAGAGTTAACGGATGAATTTTTGTTTTATGAAACTACTCCAATACTTCTTGGCACATCCCACACATCCTGGATTCCTCAGCCATCATCTGTCCTTGTTCCTCAGCCTTTACTTTTCTTTACTGTTAAAGAAATTAGGCTTCTGGGAAGGCCCCCAGTAAAGAGCAAGGCGCTAGCTCTTAATGTCCTTAGATTTCCTCTTTCTTCAAGGTGTCAGATAGCAGGACTAAGCACTCAATTATAGACTTCTTGATGTCTACAGGAGTTTTTTAAATTCATAACTGGACATGATCAATTAGTCTGCAGACTCTCCTTACCTGCCATCTAGCAAGTTTCACAAAACAGGGGAATAAAGGAAGTGAACTTACTGCTAAAATACTTGGGCTCCGCTGGAGTTTGTTGTAAGGACTGTATTTCGGCTTCAGTGGTTTCCCTGCAACTCGATCCTTGTGCCTACGGCTAGAGATGTGCTGGAGAAAAAGTTCAGAGTGTTAGCCAACACTACATGTGAGCTCTGTTCTGTGTAAAAGATATTTCCTAGACAGAAGTAGCTGATCTCTGCATTCCCTGCACTGGGACCATCGTTCCCAGATGATCTGTGTAAAACCATGATTTCGAAATGAAAATTGGGTCTCCCCTCAAAGGTAAGATCTTTCCTCCTTTTCTATTACCTGTAACACAAGTATTGCCTAGTGCTATTAGAGTTATGGATGAATTGGTCTCCATAGTCAGCTCTTGGGTCCCTCTGTAACTCACTTATTTCACCCACTTGGTATGTTAGTTCTGGTGACTTACATTTCCCCTCTATCTCTATCTAGCACAAGGAGTTTAAAATCCAGCTACTTGTTCTGTGTGAGAAAGATAGACATTAACTAACACAGCAGAAATCAGATGGGGGGTGGGTGTGTGTTTCCATGAATTGGAATTAACTTGATAGTACAGGGATTTTGGGTTTTCTGTCTAGTCCAGAGACTATATTAGGTGCTCAAGTTTCTGTCTTTTTAAATATCCATTTAAATATCTGGTGACTGATTTTGTGTTCTTCCACAGAGAAACTGTATGTTATACGTTGCATGGATCCCAATTGTCAGGTGCCACTGAATCAATCCTAACTCACAGAGCCCCCACATGTGCAAACTAGAATGACTCCATATGGTTTCCAAGGCTGTGAACTTTCGGAGGCAGACAACTCGGCCCGCCTTCTGAGGCCCTAGCTGGATGAGTCTGAACCACCACTAACCACCCAGTTAGTCGCGAATGTATCAATGCCTTTCTCAGGGGCTCCTCAAAGGAGTTGCATTATCCAGTGGAGACACTTCCCCCTCCGCCCCTGTAACAGTAGTGGATATGGATTCAACGTTTATTACCTGTTTCAGCTGAATTTCTGAATTAACATGGACATCACAAATCTCACAATGAAACGTCTTGTTCTGTAGTCCAGACCCCTTACTGCCATTCTGCATCTTTAACCTTGATCCAGGTCTAGGGTAGGACTTAATTGGGCCAGCCCCATTACGAGCTTCAACCATTGTCTTGTGTTTAGAGCCTGAGAGAAAAAGATGTATGTGTAATAAAAACTATTTAAGAACTAAATTATGCTCATTTAGTTCTTATCCTGGAGAAGTTTATATGCAGGCTAATGCTCTCAACATGTTGGGAAGAAAGTATCATTTTAATGCTATTTAAAAGTATCAGCACTTTCATGGTAAAAATGGAAAAATGGAACACTTAGTAAAAGGAATATGGAAACTACAGAGAAGCATGAAAAAATAAAGGCTGAGATTTTTCACCAGTCAGAGAGAACTACTGTTATTTTAGTGAATTTTTCAGTCTTTTCTCTTTTTGTATACTAAAATCATAAATACATTAAAAAAATTTGGATAAACCTAAAATTTCACATAAGAAACCATGTATGTATTTTCATATTTTAATGACCGAACAAGATTTTACTTAATTCGTTCAACATTTTCCTACTGATGGGAATTGAGAGTTTTTTCAATTTTTTACTCTTGCAAATATGATGACTGTGTATTGCTTCTATCTATATTAGCATGAATTTTGTAAAATATTAGATGTTCATGAGGAAAAAAAAATAGAACACATTGCCCTTTCTGCTTCTGCCTTGCTGTTTCCAAAGTCATTATTATGATCATACTATTCTTAACAATCATTCCTGTGAAAAAAACAGAGCCAAGACATTGAACAGACCTCATATTTGAACTACAAAAGAGACTGTATTCTGATGAGAAAAGTTGGGTTTTGCTAGAAACATCATTTAAATTCAAAAGGTAGCTGCTGACCTGTGTTGTGTGCCTCCAGCTGTGACAGGGAGTTCACAGCCACTTTGCATAGTGAACAATAGAGTAATTTTTTGGCTTTTTCTTCTTCTGATTCAGAAGCGGCACCAGGAGCTCCGTTTGTGCTCTTGGAGGGAGAAGTGGCTGCTCCAGGTGGCAGGAGTGTTGTGCCAGATTTGAGGAGGAACGAGCTACCTTCAGCGCTTGACGGCTGACTGTAACTACTGGCTTTCGATTTTCCTTTATCTTCTAAAAGAGACAAAAAGAGATGTTATGAAAGCTTTCAATGACACAAACTCAGACAAATCACGCTAAAGGAATTAAAAATGAAAATTTGATTTCTGTACATAGTTTTTTGCTGTACTGAAGATTTTTAGTTCAGAGACCATCATTTAAGTAACTTCACAACAAGAGTTTCCATATTATCCCATCCCTGAAATCATCTGACATTGTTCTACCTCGAGCAGGTGGCTTTCTTTCTGATATCCTTGAGTTGTGGGTTGTATCTCAGAGAAGTCTTTAATATATAATAACAAATAGATCTGCCTTGGAAAAGGTGAAAGCAGGCTGCTCCTTGGTGGCAAGGATTTTGAAGCTCTGTCTCACCTATTTTGGGCATGTTGCCAGGAGGAACCTGTCCTTGGAGAAGGACATTATGCTTGGAAGGGTTGAGGGACAGCGCAGGGGAGGAAGACGCTTGATGAGATGGATTGACTCAGTGACTGTGGCAATGGAGACAAGTGGTTCAGAGATGATGATGAGATTGGCTCAAGATAGGGCAGGGTTCAGAACTATTGTTTATAGGGTAGCTATGAGTTGTAGTTGACTCAGTGGTACATAACAACTATAACATCAGCTACCCTCCAACATTATTAAATGATATGATGGTAATTTGTCAGAAATCATTAGGTAATGTTACTTCTGCGCTCACATTTTAATAATACTATAAATGTTTTTATTGTGTGTCCTTGATCAGAACCGACTCACAGCTGACCCTCCAGGTTACTTTTAAATTTGTTCATTGTTGTACATTTTCTTCCTCCCTTCCCCCCCTTTCTCAGCCCATCCCACAATGCACCCCTTGTTCAGACTCTTCTTAATATAATACACAATCACATATTCCTTTCAGACAGTTCTTCTCGTCATCTCTTCTACTGTAGTGTTAATTATCTATCCACTCTTCTCATTTTCTCTCTAATCTCCACCCTACTCCATGTCTGTCCTATATTATAACAGGGGTTTTATGCAATATTTGTCCATTTGTGACTGAGCTATTTAATTTAGTATAATGTCCTCAAGGTTCCCCCATTTGTGTAATGTTTTACTATTCCATTGTGTGGATGTATCATAGGTCTTCAATAAACCATTCATTTATTGATAGGCACTTGGGTTGCTTCCATCTCTTTGTTATTGTGAATAATGCAGCAATAAAAATAGATGTGCATACATCTGCTTGGGTTGTGGCTCTGGTTTCTTTAGGATATATTCCCAATAATGGAATTGCTGGGCCAAATGCTATTTCTAATTCCAACTTTTTGAGAAAATGTCAGACTGTATCATTTTACAGTTCCACCAGCTGCGATCAAGAGTTCCAGTCTCTACAACATCATCAGAATTTGTTGTTTACTCCAGAAGATTTTTTAGAGGCAGTAAAATGCCCTGGATGAGACTCTATACCTTTCTCCCAAAGAGCAGGTAGTGGATTTGAGATGTGTGCCTTTGGGTTGGCCATGCAGCTCTTTACTACTAGGCCACTAGATCTCCAGTGACATAAATTGTTGCTGTTGTTGGGTGCTACTGAGTTGAATATAACTCATAGTGACCTTAAGAACAACAGACCTGAATCCTGCTCTATCTGTGCCATCCTCACCATCTGATACACTTGCATCCATTGTTGCAGTCACCACGTCAATCCACCTCACTGGGGTTCTTCCTCTTTTCCACTGTCCCTCAACCTTTCCAAGCATGATATTCTTGTCTAAGGTATAGCTTCACCTAGCATATATCCAAAGTATGGGAGGCAAAGCTTTGTCATCCTTGCTTTCAATGTCTGCCTGTTCTTTTGGAAGTCCATGGGATATGCAGTACTCCTTTTCAACACCACACATCAAAGCATCAATTATTGTTCTGTCATCCTCATTTATTGTCCAGCTCTCAGAAGCATAGCAAGTAACTCAAAAGATTATGGCCTCAACCAGGGGCACCTCAGTTTTCAAATTGACATCATTGCTCTTCAGTGTTTTGGAAAGGTCCCTGACAGTGGAATTGCCCAAAGTAATGAATCATCTCATTATCTCCTTGCTGCTGATACCAAGGGTGTAAGATGAACTCACTGACTGTTTCAATGACATAAAAATAGAAAGCCAAAATTCAATTTTTACACCAATTTAAAGTTTTATCTTTAGGGTGTAGGATAGAGGAAAAGAAAGAAACATAGTTAACTTTGGCTATGAGTGGTTAGGGTTTTTTTTGTTCAACTGTGTATGAAATTTATCCAAATTGAAAGAAGCAAAGAGATCTTACTCATTATGCTTATTAATTACTTCTAATTTAAATGAAAAATTCTAAATAATAATATTAACCATAACACAATATAAGATCACCCAAATCATTTACAAACATCTTAGCAATTTGCTCATATAACTACTAAATGCAGATAATCCTCAAGGCTCATGTGCTGGTGATAAGAGGGGTCATAGTGACTTTAGCAAAATCTACCTCATTGGGGTTCATTTGCTATTCAAGATGGGCTCTTTTCTGTAGCTCCTTCGAGAAAAGAAGTGGGGCTTTTTAGGCAACAACAGAATTCAACACATGTTTAATCCCAGTAGGACTGATGTTCTTAGAAAATGTCTTCAGATATAACTACAAGCTCTCAGTAAGAGAACAATGGAATTAAAACTGAAAATGCAGTTACGTGTTGCCTTAGGTAATTTGAAGTATGTACAATGGCCTGAGGGAGACCAAGAGAGAAGACACGACTGGGGTATAGGAGCATGGTGTTTGAGCCAATCTATGCTCTAATGTAATAGATTAGAACATAGATTGGCTCACTGCAGCCTCCAATATGGATTGAGGCTCAATGTCAAGAGGACAAAGATTCTCACCACTGGACCAATTGGCAGCATCAGGATGGATGGTGAAGAGATTGAGATTGTTCACACTTTTGTTTGCTTGGCTCCACAGTCAACAGTCTTGGCACCAGTAGCCAGGAAATTAAAAGGCACATTGTTATGGGAAAGTCTGCTGTTAGGGACCTCTCCAAAGTACTGAAGAGCAATGGTGTCTCTCTGGAGACTAAGGTGCATCTGATAGAGGCCATTGTCTTTGCAATCACTTGTCATGCATCGGAGAGTTGGACAATGACCAAGGAAGAGACCAATAGGAGGAGAATTGATGCCTTTGAGCTGTGGTGCTGGAGAAGAGTATTGAGAGCACCATGAACTGCTAGGAAAACAGATTAGTCCTGGAAAGGGTTAAACTGGGTGGCTCCTTGGAGGTAAGGATTCTGAGGCTCCGTCTAACATACTTTGGACATGTTGTGAGGAGAGACTGGTCCTTGGAAAAGGACATCATGCTTGAGAGGGTGGAGGGACAGCGCAGGAGGGGAAGGCCCTCTATGAAGTGGATTGATTCAGTGACTGGGATATTCGGGATGGGAGTGTCAGAGACGGTGTGACTGGCACAGGACAGAGCGGAGTTTAGGGCTATTGTACATAGGGTTGCTATGAGTCGCAAGCGACTCAATGGCACATAACAGCAACAACATGTTCTAATATTCTGCTACAGGCCAATCCAAGGTTACAGGACTCACCAAAACATGGGGGAGGGGGAGGAAATAATCCTATTTGGGTTAATTTCCAATGATAAATCAAATTTATTTGGGGATAAAGCAGTCTGTTTTCATTCCTCTCCTCACGTTGGATCCAGCCAGGGGTGTTATATCTGAAATGTTACAGGATACCAGGTCGAGATAGGTTTGGAATAAGTGTTGAGATTCTCTTACTATATATACCAGGCACTCTATGTTCCCTCAGTACAATGTTCTAAAATCTTAGGATATGTAATAATGGGGGTGGGGGTGGGAATTGTGAGCTTTTACTGAACTGACTAGGACTTTTTAGGCCTTGAATTTAATCATCAACAAGGATCTCTCAGATTGAGTTTGCAATTTCCATCTCATTAAGCAGAAAAATATTTTAGTAATCTCAGTGCTTATAACCTGTCAAAGGATCCATTACTACTGTGTACTATTTTTCCTTGCTTTAAATGCTTAATATAGGGAACACTGGCGGCCTAATGGCAAGAAGCTGTGCTGCAATCCCAAAGCCATGTGGTTTGAATCCACCAGCTGTTCTGTGGTAGAAGAATGGGCAATCTCCTCTCATGCAAATAACTGCCTCTGAAAACCCTCCAGAGGGACAGCTATGGGTTGGTTCTGACTCAATGATGCACAACAACAACAACAAAAACATAAACACTTTATATTTAACATGAAGTTGACCTAAAAGGGTTTGACCTTATTTACTCATTATGTCTTAGGAAGTCTTATTTTAATCTCCCAAATATATAATCTCCCACATATATCCTTATGTTTATATAGCTTTTTAAAGCTTATTTAAAAAGTGCTATCTAATTTATCTTATTAACTCTTAAAATAACCTTGTGAAAGGTTAAGGTTGATGATGATTTCATCTGTCTGTGAGATGAAAAATCTGACACTCATGAAGATGAAATAATGTCCTACAGATCAGAGTTGTTCTTGTTAGTTGTTCTTGTTGTCGAGTCAATTATGACTCTTAGCAACCCTATGGACAAGAGATTTATCCCTTGCACTAGCCTGCATCATTTGCATGATTTCTGTCAAGCTCATCCCAGTGACTGTGTCAATCCATCTCACTGAGGGTCTTCCTCTCTTTTGTTCACTATCTTCCCTAATATGATGTCTCTTTCCAAGGCCTGTTCCACCTGAAAATTACCTAAAATAAGTGAGATGAAGTTTCACTATCCTCGTCTCTAAGCAACATAAATAAAACAGATGTTTTCTCTAATCCGTGTATAGTGCACCAACATTTTTGCCTAAAGGAGTCACTTAATATTCTCCCTTTATGGTATTATTTTATACTATAGTACTATACACTATTATTATAAAGGGCATACAATAGTCACCCAAAGATGTGAAGTAGATGTTGCTATTCTACAACTGCAGTTTAGTTTCCTTGAAATTAATATATCCACAGTAGGATAGA